TAACGATTAAAATCGAATAAAATAACTCCAACCTAAAGCGCCTTTCGACCGATAGTTCGTCTAAAGCCAATCGTCCCCATTAAAATACTACTGAAGTGGCTGTTTTTTTGTTTGTTTTTGTTGCTGTTGTTTTTGTTTTTTGTTCTGTTTTTGTTTTTTCAAATAGATCTTAAAATTGGAGAAATGACAATGGGGAGGGGGAATTATTATTGTCATCCAGATCAAGTCACTGACTCCCCCCCCACCCCACTCCAAACAGTTCTTATTTGTGTTTGAGCTCCTTCTCTCTACGCGGTCAGATGCCGTGTGTTAATCACAGCAGCTTCTAAGATATTCAGGTGATGTTTTGTCTAGGCTCGGTGCTGAACAGAAAAGAACTCATCTGAATAACTGTTCCTATACACATTTTTACTTAACAATTATTCGCCAATGACAGACTCGTGTGTTTGTGAATGATTTTATTGGTAGATGCCTAAATAGGTCCAGACACACGTTGATCAATCCTCACATCTAGCCGCTGAATGGTTTTACCTACATAGCCAGCATCGCACTGACATTTAAAGCGATAAATAACGTTTAAATTAAAATAAGTTTTTATTGAAGGGTAGGCAAAATGTTTTTACGGATAGAGGGCAACGCTCTTCTAGTAGAGAAGAAGGTACATACAACAACAGAATTAAAACAGTGGATTTTAGACAATGAGATCTTATCGGTAAAATACTGACGACGAGATTCAGTCCATAGATTGATTGATATTAACAGGGCTCTCAGGAGGAACAAATATTTTAACATCATATGCGATTTTTACACTACATAGACAGGCGGATATTTTTTTTCAACATTTGAACAATCACCTCAATCAGCTTAAAATTTACGATGATATAAAATTATAATATTTTGCCTTTCTTAGACGTTTCAGCCGAGAAAACTTCCACATCTTTCGTCACTAGCGTATACAGAAAACACACTTTTACACACTTATATCTTAGTTGGGATTCCTTTGCCATCAAATCTCCCAAAATTGACCTTATCAAAACTCTTACAAACCGTGTACTAATGACATGCTCGGAATGTAAATTGGATGTCGAACTCAAGCAAATCACCGATAATTTTCTTGCAAATGGCTACCCTGAGAGTGTTGCTCTGAGTAATATTACACTTAACGTTGATGATATTAAAACATTTTGTCCTCCTACGTGTCCTGTTTATATCAAACAACAATGGATTGGATCATGCAGTCATTTTTTGCCCATAAGATCTGATCTCTCTATAATGCACTGTTTTAATTCTATTATCGAAGTTAATTAAACGATGTTATACTAATGTTATTCGATTTTAATCGTTAAATATCAAATTATGATCCCTATCTTAAAATTTTATATGTAATACATACATACACAAATATGTATATATATATATATACAGATAGATAGATAGATATAGACTGAGATAGAAAGAAAGTAATAGACTTAATAAGAAAGTAATAGACTTGATAAGATAGATAGATAGAAAGAAAGAAAGAAAGAGAGAGAGAGAGAGAGAGAAAAAAAAAGAAAGAAATAGACTGAGATAGAAATAAAGTAATAGCCTGAGATAGATAGATAGATAGATAGATAGATAGAAATAGACTGACATAGAAAGTAATAGACTTAATTAGATAGATAGATAGATAGATATAGATAGATAGAAAGAAAGAAAGAGAGAGAGAGAGAGAGAGAGAAAGAAAGAAAGAAATAGACTGAGATAGAAATAAAGTAATAGCCTGAGATAGATAGATAGATAGATAGAAATAGACTGAGAGAGAAAGAAAGTAATAGACTTAATTAGATAGATAGATAGATAGATAGATAGATAGATAATAGTCATAGCTGACTCAGACCAGGAAACAATAGTATTAAAAAGTACTCAATACGCATGTAAAATAAAAACAAGAGTAAAAATATCATGTAGAGATTTTAACTTTAAAAATCAGGAGGTCAGTTGAATCCTCTACTTTGGTTTCAACCTTACGTTATCCTCAGGTAATTTTTTTTATCAAATGACCACCTAACGCTTTAAAATTATTTAAAAAAACTAAAAAACGCTACATTATTATTTTCAAAAATACTTTTGAAAATAATAATGCAGCGTTCTTTAGACTTTTAGTGATGTGTTTCATCCGCTAGGATTTCATCGGACTGGGCTTCGTTGATGTTGCCACGTCTACACATGCGCACAAGACTAGAGACACGAAAGTTTAGAAAGAATATTTTTTCAGCCGAACCAAATCCATCTGTATTCTTTTTCTTAATCTTTTTCTCTCCGTCACCTTTTCCTCCTGATTATCCCATATTGTAACAATAGAAAATCTACTAAGACTAGTGAAATACTGTAAGACGCAAATTTATCGCGGCTAAACTAGCGATCAAGGCACTTTACAGATATTTTCGTGTATGTATATACATATTCCTTCTTCATACATATATATTGTTTTATTTACAAGGTAATAGTATATATACACACTCATATTTTGTATGTTGCGTATGTTGAATAGGCTTCGTGTGTGGGGGTGCGTATGTTCAGTCTCGTGTGTTTGTTTTTGCTAGTATGTGTGTATATATTCGTTCTCATGTATGGTGGATGTTTATGTGTGTGTGGTGGTGGGAGGTTATGATTTGTTTAGTGCTGGTTTAAATTTGTCTATGAAGTTATTTTCTTATATTTGTAGGTAAGAATAATTGTCTGTTTGATATACTAGCATACTTTTAAATTTACCTTCGTTGGATTTGTGAATGTGTTGTGACACAAAGAGTGTTATGTTGTCTGGTAATTTAATGATGCTTTTATGAAGAGAGACTCTGTTGTTTAGTGCTTGGGTGATACCTATGGAAGATTTGTTGCACTTGAATGCATAAATCACATTTTTGTAGTTGAACATTAAGTTTTTTCTTTATTGTGAACGTTATGGGATTTCAAAATGGTAAGTTTCCTTCTATATCGCAAACCCCATATCATTTTTGCTGCATTTTGTGACCACCAATAGTTCTGGATTGTTCTTGTATATTGAGGCGTATGCTAGAACTTGTTAGTTGTGGCGTTTCTTTTTGGGTTTCGTAGTTGCTCTAAAGGTATTTTCCTGATAGTTCAAGACCTTTGTTTGTTAGTGGTGTAGAGTAGACTCGTTTTTTTGACAGTCTGATGTAATTCTTCTAGGCGGATTTTTCGGAGGTGTTTGTCGGCCACTATAGTGAAAATAATACATGCTAGTGCATAGGGAATGAGACAAAAGAAAGTGAATTCCTTTAAATAATATGTGGAAATAACCATTCTTCGTCTGATTATGGTCACAAAATGTGGAAAATAAAGAGTAATATATATTTTAAAAAATTAAGTTAATTAATTAAAAGTCCACATTATAACACAAAACTTTTGAGGCTTCTCTTTTCTCTTTCATATATATATATATATATATATATATATATATATATATATATATATATATATATATATATATATATTCAATTTAAATAGAAAACAGACAACCATAACGGTCCATTGGTTTTCTATTTAAATTGAATCAATAATTAACTCTGATATGACAGTGATTTATCTGGATTACATCCTCCTTGGGATTATCCATACGGATTACCAAACTTTTCATTAGTTATATATATATATATATATATATATATATATATATATGGTGGCGCCTGGGGTGGCGGTCCCGCCATAGCCACCGAAACCGTGAGATCACCCCTGGTCGGCGGCTGATGAAGACAGCGTATCGCACGTGCTAAAACACGTTGTATGTTAATATATATATATATATATATATATATATATATATATATGAATATACTATTTGACTGTTAATTGAATATTGCCGCCTTATCTGCTCTGCTGGTCCGCTATATACTTCGCGATTCTCAACAAAATCAAAAGAAGTTTCTTTAATGAAATCGATTCTGACCGGGTCTCCCGAATTCGGTTACATGCCAACCACCGCCATGTGGCTTCCCTCTGTCTTTTCTATAAATATTTTCATACCAATTGCTCGCATGAGCTTTCCTCTTTGATACCTGGACTGCATGAATTTAAGTGTACTACTAGACTGACAAGAAGGCCTCACCGTTTCTTTTGTTGAATTAGATAGACGTAAGTTCTATTATAGGAGTTTCTTTTCTTGAATTTCTCACCTGCGAAACTACCCCCCCCCCCGATTTCGTGCTTCCCTGCCATCTACATTCTTCAAAGATTTAAATGCAACGTCAATCGCCATCTTTTATCATCCTGGAACCTGTTTTTTATTGCCCTTTCTCCTCACTAAAGTTCATTATCATTAATCATCAGTAATCGCTATCGGTTTATTGACATTTCTTTGCTTGGGGAAATGTTATATATATATATATATATATATATATATATATATATATATATATATATAAGCAAATGATATTGTAAGAACAGTTCACAACGATGAGAACAAGCAAATAAACAAACAAACAAAAGAAAGAAAGAGGATAAAAATGTAAGAAACGAAAGAAAGAAGGAGAAAATTTAAATAAAGAATTAATGAAAGATAAAAAGAATTAAAGATTTAAAGAAAGGAAGAAATAAAGAATGATTTAAATTAAAAAAAAGAAAGATTTAAATAAAAAATAAAGATTTAAATTAAGAAAGAAAGAGAGAAAGATTTAAATAAAGAAAGAAATATTAAAATAAAACATAAAGATTTAACTAAAAAAATAAAGATATAAATAAAGAAAGAAATAGAGAAAGATTTAAACAAATCTATATTCCGGATTCTGGAAACTGGTTGATAACAATTTGTTGGTATTTGGCCAATGGTCAGCGCTGATTGTTCCTATCTCACAATCAGTCTTGTAATCCTGTTGATATCTGGCCACTGTCCAGCAAGGTTAGTGATTTTAACCGTCAGCGACTGACTACAATAGCAACCGTCATTAATCAGTAAGTCAGTGGAACCTACATGAAACTGAGAAATAAACCAAAGACGACATGATGTAATTTCTAGTTAGGTTTGTATATATTTTAATTCATTTTCCTCCCAATAGTCGTCTTCTTGTTGGAGATAAGCAATGACAGAAAATGTGAAGATCTACCAAAAAAGACATCATTGGTAGATTTATCTTCAAAAACATACGTCAGGTTGGTAAGAAATTAGACAGGCGCCATTACTTAATGAGAAAAATGTAGAACGTGCATTAAAAGCAGCGGATTCGGTGGAAGTTTATTAGTTCTAACTGCGTTCCCTCAAACGTCATTAGAATGTTAAATTATCCCTTTAAAAGGTCTTGGCTTCTTAATATAGGATAGGATGCGCTAAAAGGTCTTTTGAACATCAGCGAAAGATTTTTTTAAATCATTTCACCCCAAGAAAGGTAATTAAGCGACTAAGACAAAATAGGTTACTGAGAGTGAAGGAATAAGAAAGAGAAAACCTTATTAACCAGCGAGAAGAATAAAAGAAGAATAAAAAAGACAGTAGATAACGCCTAATATTGCATTTAAATGACTGAAGTTCGAAATTGGCTGGAAAGTCAGAAGACAAAAGAAAGTTCCACAGGCGACGAGTGCTACAAAAGAAACTGTTAGCAAAGAACATACGGTTGCACCTAGCCAATTCAACTAAAAGGATGAGACCTAACTGCCAATCTAGTACTGCGTTTAAATTCATAAAGTCTAGGTACCATAGAGGAAAGTACTATTTTGAAAACACAAAAACACAATAGAGGAAAGTCCTTCAGATCAATTACCATGAAAGTATTTATTTTTAAAAAAATGCTCAGGGTAGCTACATTACAGTGGTGGAAAAGTGACTGAAGCCGAGATGCCAGGTCATGTCAAATAATATTGCCGATTCTGTCTTGGCTTTTATCAAGAATCTCTAAATATATATCAGAAGCAACAGACCTTATCTGGCTGCAATATTCAAAGCATGGATGAACGGTAAACTGATAAATTAGTAAGATAGTTTTTGGGGAGAAAAATTGTATGCTACAAAGCCAAAATTTTAACCTAAGTCATGTCATGTCCTGAGATAGATAGATAGATAGATAGATAGATAGATAGATAGATATTGAAGAGAATGAGATAAATAGATAATGTGCAGACTGAAATAATGTGAAGACTGATAGATAGATAGATAGATAGATAGATAGATAGATAGATAGATAGATAGATAGATAGATAGATAGATAGACTGAGATAAATACATATTGAACTGAATGAGATAGATAATGTGTAGACTGACATAGATAATTGCAGATTGAAACAGATAATGTGCAGACTGAAATAAATAGATAGATAGATAGATAGATAGATAGATAGATAGATAGATAGATAGATAGACTGATAGTTGTTCATTTTGTCAGATTTCCAGGAGTGAGTAACTCATCATAGATAACAATGTTAAGCATTCCTTGAAGAATAAAACTGCCTGATTTAATTGTTATTTTTTATTTACCAATTTCTGGTTAATCTGGAACCATGAAAAGAGGACCAATTGAATATTTCCAGCACATTTCATCTGCTTCCATGATAGATGGGCAAATTTCTCTCAATCTGTAACAAAGTAAAAAAAAAGAGATGACATTATTTAAAAAAAAAAAAAAATTCTAGTCTCCGTTGATATAATGTTCTCATTTGTTTCTCTCCGATTACATAATAATGATAATATTTAATGCCACTGGGTTCGAAATCAATTTAATTATATTCTCAGTCCACTGAAATTTGGGACTCTTGTCATATTTTTAAAAATATTGCCGTCGAAAAATTAAAAGACGTTGAAAATGTCTTAATAATAAAAATTGAAATTACCCTCTCTAATTACATCGATGAGAAAAATATGGCGAGAAATCGGTTAAACTAGAACATGAATAAAGAAAGAAAGAAAACGAAAGAAAGAAAGAAAGAAAGAAAGAAAGAAAGAAAGAAAAAAAATGAAAGAATTGATGAAATCAAATGATGAATATTAAAAATAAAACAAATATTTATCAAAAATAAAGAATAGAAAAATGAATAAGATAGAAAAAAATAGAGAAAGTAAAAAGAAGGAATGGATTGATAGAATCAAATGATTAATATTCGATAATAAAACAAATATCTATTAAAATAAACGGAGAGAAAATGAATTAGAAAGAAAGAACGCAGTGATGAACTTAACCAAATGATTACTACTAAAAATAAAGCAAATACTTTTTGAAAGAAAACAGGAAAGAAGACTGAATAAGAAAGAAAGAAAGAAAGAAAGAAAGAAAGAAAGAAAGAAAAAAGAACGAGAGATAGAAAGGAAGAAAGAAAGAATTGATGGAATCAAATGATTAATGCAAGAAAGCAAATATTTATTAAAAGAAAACGGAAATAAAAATGAATAAAAAATAAGAAAGCTAAGAAGTGAACACAGTAAGATGATAAAATACAAAAAAGGAAAAAAGATTTAAAGAAAATAAAAGGACAACGAAAGAAAAGGAAAAAAAAAACAAAAAAGAAAAGAGACAAACAAACGGACAAAACGTAATTGATGGAATTAAAAAATTGATACTCGAAAATAAATGAAATATTTATTAAAAGAAAATAGGAGAATGAAAACGCAAAAAGAATGAATAAAAACGGAATAAAAGTTAAGTTTTCCAAATAAATTAAAGAGGATAAAATAAGAAAGAGATAAAGAAAAGAGTAAAGAGAAAAAAAAATTTTTAAATTTAGATTTTAAAATTTTCGTCTCTTGTCTCTTAAAGTTATAATATTCGTCTTCACAAAGAATTATGACAATTCCTTGACATGTGTCAAATATCTTCTAATATTATTTTTTCCTGTTCTGCTCCTAACTTTCCGTTCACCTTAATCATTCTACAAATCAATTTTAAACATAAAATCAAATGAAAAAAAAAAATCATTTCTGAAAAAATATTTACCCTATTGATAATGTGCCTAAAACGCTTTTCCATGCAACTCTTTTTGAATTATAAACAAAAATATACGAAAACCCGAAAGAAATTTTAATAATGTGAATACGAATTACAGATATTTACCGTACAAGGCAAAATTTAATCATTCTCTGACAAACCAGTGAATACTTACTGGACAATGCCAAATTTGGTAAGAGGCGACGTTCATTAATCGATAGCATAAAAGACTATAATATCCAACTGTCTCTATAGAATATGTTTTGTTCTATAGATAAAATATAATCAATATTCAGATTAATGTTTTAGGAAAAAAAAAAATCTAAGATCATCTTTTAATGGACATCTTCATTGGTAATAACTACGAGACACTATTTTTCTTAGGAGCAGCCCAACAGAGTCAAATTGAAATCTATGCCACTTAACAGTGTTGTATCGATATCCATGCTACTGTATTTCCTCATTGGGCACCTCGGTGTGGTGTAATGGTTGGCAAGCTTGTCTCGCTGGAACAACTACGACTGAGTAGTGAGTACAATCCTCACTGGGTGCCCCATACTTTCGGCCTTGTGCCACATCTGAGCTACGCTTGGAAAATCATTGTATTTCCTCATGTATAATATGACTTGAGTATAATACGACCCCGTGTTTCTGAAGCTGATGACAGGGAAATCAGTTACATGCTTGAGCGTTTATGATCCCGTAGTACAGCCATCGTTATTTTTTGAAAAGTTGGACTATATTATCTATTAAAATCTGAATGCCGGACCTATATTTAATTGAAATATCTAATATTTCACGATATCAAAGAGCAGATATTTACCACTGCGTGTTTTTTTTCTTTTAATTTTCATTTTGTTGTGTTTGGTATATCTCACTGTGTCGTAGCAGTCGTAGCCAGTTCTCCGCGTTAAGTTTAGCCAACGGGTTTGATAAGCAATGCCCTCATGTTCACCCGTTGTTCTCTATTTAAACTTGTCTATCTCATTTGCATGCGATACTACACCTCCCTGAATCGGTGAGGTCGTATACCCTTTTTTTTTTCTTTTTTCTTCTATCTCTGATTATTCCCGTACTGTGTTGTCCTTTTCCTTGTCTTTCTTGTTTTCTCTTTAATGATAATCTCGGTCTCTCTTCATTTTCTTCTTCACTCTCGTCTGTCTTTTCATTTTCACTTTCTTCCTGCTCTCTTCCACTTTTGTGATTTTTTGTCTCTTTTGATCTTCCATTTCCACGCCATCCAGTTCGTTTCTGCTTCTGAATTGATCTGCATGTGCCAGTATATTTTGACCCTTTTTCTCAAGTATAGCCGTGTTGTGTCCTTTTTGTATCAGGAAATTTGCTTCTCCTGGATTAGCCTCTTTATTCTTTCTATACCATACCTTTTCTTTCATTGAAAAGGACGTAGTTATAGGAGCTCTGATTTCTCTTCCCATTAATGCCAAAGGGCTCAGTTTTCTTCCCGCATGCGAACTGAATTTGTAACTGAGTTGCATTTTTGGTTGTGTTGTGGTAGGATCCACCTAATTTGCATAGTGGAGTACCGTCCATATAAATATGGTTGGTACCGGGAAGAGAGGGAGGAATCAAGAGATTCAACCAGAGACTCTGCCCGACTGCGACTCAGTCAACACATTCTCCAGAAACGGTCTTACCAGGAATATACAAAAGACTATATGTATATATTGTGTACACTTTCTTGTTTCAATACATTTTGTTCTAAGTACATTTTGTGTTGTATTATTATTCCATGCATTATTCAAGTTTCAACAGGTAGATACGCTTCTATGCTTTCATTAAGAGGTGAGAATGCTTTTAACCCCATTTTTACTGTTTGTACCATTCTTTCCGCAATGCCATTGGACTGTGGGTGATACGGTGGTGTCTTGTATGAGATGCATCCAATTTTAACCACGCAAATAAGTTCGCATCGCAAAATTCGGGTGAATTGTCAGTGACTATTGCCTGGGGTACTCGATTCCTTGAGAATATAGTTCTTAGCACTTGCTTTATTTTGGTGGTTGTCTGTTTTTTTACTCTGACAACCTCTGGTCATTCTGAATATGAGTTTCTGTCTCCAAAAACTTGGTTCT